TGAACATATCTGACTTATTAACGAAACATGTCAAAAGGCATGATACGATCATATATATATTTATTTATAGTTTATTTAATGGCCCCAATTTATCCGAGAACTCACACAAACTATTCCTATCCTTAACCAGATCACTTAAACCACACCTTCACAAACCATTTCTGTAATATTTTAAGGACCGGTCGGTCGGTTAAATTGCTACTGGTCCTCGTCAGCACAGTTAGTCCTGATTTCGAGGGCCCTCTGGATCCATAACCAAGATTTTTCTCTTCTAGACATGTACTTGTTTAAAAGTAGGACCTCCTATTCAACTAGTGGAGGGGTTTATCTACTGCTGGTCGTTCTCCTTCTTCTGGATACGATCCGAGTGGGCGCTCACTAACTGACCCTCACACACACACACACACACACCTCTCCTGTCAGCCTATTCCCCTCAACTCACTCACCGAATTCAAAGTCAAAATTATGCTACGACCGACGGTCAGTCGGCCAGGCTGTATTGGCGTAAAACCCCATCTGGGACCCAATACCGGATTTTTGTTACTGTCACAGTTGTGGGTTTGTTGTCCTCTGACGGGAGGACGGGTCTGTCATTTACAACTGCTGCTGGCCCTCGTCAGCCGAGTCATTCTCGGGTCCGAGTTTCACGGGACTCATGATCATATTTTACTCTAACAGATTCGAGACACCTCCAACCTGGAGTGCCAGGTCCCCGTATTTATATCCCCCAGGAATAGGGTGGCCCAGTTTACCCTCAGGCACTGGGCTTGCTTTTTCATCGCTTTTTATGACTCGCAGGGCTACGGTGGAAGTATTGGAACCCACCTCAACATGGGCTTCAAAGACTGAATACCTTCAAATTAATATATAAAGATTCATTTCGTACCTCACAGGAAACACATATCACAACTAAAAACAGTAAAATATTACTCCTGTTAAGTGAAACAATCGCTGGTTACTGTGAGAACCATGCGAAACACACAAATGCGCTCTGTGGGCAGAATGCAGAGTTTTCATATGTTAAAGAGTATGATACATATAGTAACCACCCGGTTTTAAAGTGTTACGGGGTAGTTTAGCATCGTCACATTTACACCTAAATCCGTTTTTCATGGGTTGGACTAATTTTCTAATGAAGTTCGAGAAAATTCTCACGTATGACAACCTTTAACTGCGCTTTGTCCTCCTAATTGCAATTCTAAGAAAGTACATAGATTTCTTTTGTTACTGGATAGCAGACCCGACTTGGTGTCACTTTCCCTTCAAAACAAGACAAAACAGCATCACGCAGGACCACTCTACATCCGTCATTCATGTCCCCAGCCTTGCTCCAGCGATAAAGCATTTTCTCTTCAGTTTTCTCTTTAATGCATTGTCTCTGAAATATCGACGCTGATATGGAATAAAAGCACATTGATGTACCCATTCTCACAGACAATACAATGCAATTACACCACATATATCTAATTCATCCTCAAAACATCATTTTAAAGTCCCAGCCGGAATATGATGGGAATTTAGAAACAAGCTTTCATTTCGTGAAAGGCAGTATTTATTGAGGTATCAAGGTTAGAAATTGTGGGAGATATTCAAAACGAATGGACTACATAACAAGATACACATGCGGCTTTAAGTTAATTTACCCAGATAAGTGGAATTTCACAAGTGTCACTGTTTGATACGAAAAGAAGAAGTGCTGGGAAGAACTAATCGCCTACTTTCCATTGATACATGGACCGCATTGCAAACGATACACCAAACAATTGGTCAGTAGTTTGCACATGTATTCGTTGCCGCGGAAACGATTTTACCGAGCCTTTGACTAGCGATGAGAAGGGCATAAACATGCGGGCACGCGGACTGACGGGATGGACTGAGGTGTGATGATAGGCATACCAAGTTTCAGAAAGACTGGTTCAGGCATTAGAGAGTTACACACACAGACGCCATGGTGATATCATCAGCCTAGTTCTATTTTTTAAAGAAATTTGGCTAAAAATGTTTCTAATAGGAATTGCGTATTACGAGCCCTGGCTGCTAGTATCGACATTTCTGAACGTAATCACATGAAGATGGTAGTAGCTCATAGAGTCGAGTAACATCAGGACGTTTATAGAACCCAAAAGTTCATTGCCCTGTTCACAAGAGCACTCGCACTGGGCCCTATTTCGAAATCTTGTGAGGAGTAATTTTCTCACGCAGACAATTTTTAATTTGAAGATATTCATCTTCTGTGATATAACTCCATGTAGTCTGTTGAAAGTCAGCCGACGTTTCGGAGGAACATATCGCCTCCATCTTCAGGGCCGAAGAATAAGCCATGCAAGAAACCAGAACGGAAGCAGGTGGCAAACAGAATTTTCACGCTCGTTTATTTGGCCTATTTTTCGACTTTGAAGAGAGGCAACATTTTCCTCTGAAACGTCGCTGTGAGAACCTCAAAACTTACAATTTATAATTTTCTTTTCTATTATTAAAATTTTGGTTATTTTTATATGCAGGTAAAATTGGAATTGGCAAGTCAAGGAGTATGAGATGGGCGGGGCATGTAGCACGAATGGGAAGAAGAAGACGAATGCATGTAGGTTATTGGTGGGAAAACCAGAAAGAAAGAGACTACTAGGAAGACCAAGATCTGGTGGTCTGACAAAATTAAAATGGATCTTAAAGAGATAGGATTGCATGGATTGGATTGATCTGGCTCAGGATAGGGACCATTGGAGGGCTCTTGTGAACACGGTAGTGATTCTTCTGGTTCCATAAAATGCTGGTAAGTTCTTTAGTAGCAGCACAATTGGCGGCTTCTCAAGTGGGGCTCAGTGCCATGAGTGATTTGTATGCATTTTAATGTTATCCTCCCATGCATTCCCAAAGCCTCGCAATTGCCTTCTTTATTTAAGGTTATCCAACTGTATAATATTTATGCATTTTCATCTGTTCCATGCCCCACCCACTCGTAGGTTTGTTCACTATGAGAATATTTTCTGACGTGTCCTCGCATACCATCAGCAGCCCTGAACTATGGATCCCGTTGTAAAGTGAGGTGCATGGCGATACATCTGCAGTTATCACGACTTTCGCTCCACAACGCATAACCTTCTACAAATTGCAGTTTGTTATTTTCTGACGCTATCAGCAGCTGGACTGTACATCGTATAGGGTCGAAAGGTCAATGATGAATTGTAATGGGTTTGGAAGGAATCTGTCGTAGCCTATCAAGGTACTATCCTGGAATATGAATGGATGGACTGAGGAAAATCTCAAAAAACCTAATTCAGAATAGCTGGTGTCCCGAATTAGGTTCGAACCGAGCACGACCAGGATACAATTCCAGAGCGTTATCGCTACATAATCCCGTTCGCTGATAAATCTATTTTATAAAAAAGTTCTGGGAAAATCTAATCGCTTACTTTCCTTGTATATGTCACGGACCGCATAGAAAACGAAAAAATGGAGTGGATACACAGACAGGATTTTTTCAACGTGAGGAAAGTAGGCTAACTAGATATGTCAGAAGCTTCTGCTTTTCTGTTGTGGGTTCTTAACTTACTACTTACTTCGACAAATTTAAGGGTTTTATTATCATCAGGTAGTAAGTCGATCACATTGGCCGGCCGCGCGGTCTAGAGCATAAACTGTCTTCGCTTGCTCGGACGCTTTGATCGTGGGTTCGAATCCCACTCGAGGCATGCATATCTGTGTGCATTTATTCTGTATTTGTGTTCTTCTGTGTGTAGGTAGCGTACTTGCCACGGGCTGATCCCTCGTCCAAGGAGTCCTACCGACTGTGTATAGGATTAATAAATTGAAAAGAGGCCAAGGTCCAACATAAAAGCGGTAGGGCCACAGATAGATTAGATAGTAAAAAGTAAAAGCTAATTTGCTCCTGTTCTTAATTAATTAGGCACCACGCCTTGAAGATGTATGTTGGATTGGACATACAGGGTGTTTCACGACTTTAGGGCATAACTGCAGGAGGTGATTTCCTAGGTCTCTGTGATCAAAAATGTTCATATAAACATACGTCCGGTTTTGGATGGTTACGGAGTTATGACCGTTTTTTCATTCACGTACACGCCCTCGTGTGAACTGCCTCTGTCTGCTGACGGGTCGCTGTTTTTAGCCAGCTACAGACAGAGCGTTCTCGTTATCTCGACACTTGAGAGCTACCTAAGGCGGGGTGGGTTGGTATGTCTGGCGCGGTTCACAACCGAGCGGCAGCCTGTGTTGCGGCCGGCGGTGGCATTTTCGAAAATCGACTTTAAGCACCAATAAATTCAAATTAAAGGTAATTTCACGAAGTTAACTTTACAGCCATACTTTAAATGTATCATGTATTATGCTGGCTTATTATTTTGTTCCATTTATTGTCAGTAATCGTTACCTTCGATTCTGAGTTTAAAACGGCCATAACTCCTTAACCGTCCAAAATCGGACACATGTTTATATGAACTTTTTTGATCACAAAGACCTAGGAAATCACCTCCTATAGTTATTCCCTAAAGTCGTGAAACACTCTGTATAGCTTCAACATCCGTGATCTGAGCGCTAGATGGAGATAGGTGGTCAGTCGGGTCTGGTAATTTGTTGCTGTCCTTCGCTAGTGCAGTTATTCTTGGTTCCTGGTCCCGCTGGGACCCGTAATCATATCGTTCTGTCAGGACTCTTAAGTCGTGAGACTCATGGGTGGTCAGCTTCACTTCCGGGCCACTTTGGATCCGAGGAAATAGTCCCCGGTACCCATTGGATAGGAGTCTGGGTGGGCCCCGAAGCTGGTCTGGACTCTGTGGAGAAGAGAATAATCTCTTGAACCTGCCAGGGACTGAATTCCATAGCCCCTTGCTCGTCGCTGTACCGACTGAGCTCACCCGAGGTTCGACTCTACATACGGCGCTTTAACAATTACGAATACTTGTTGTGTTGATGGTTTGATAAAATAAACTTTGGTGTCGTGTGCAACAGGAATCACAGCTCAATAATTTGTCTCTGGTTTGTTTCAGGGAGGTGACACAAAGTGCGTCTTCGGTGAAGTGTGATTACAATGCCACATGAAACGCAATGAAGGCGGAAGTGATTGGGTGGGTGGCCACAGCCGTTGGAAGTCCGATAGTGATCGTGACACTCTGTTGGACACTGGTGATCTTCCACTGTCACCGCCATTATTGGCGGTCCACGGATCTGCTCATCGCCGCCATATTGTCACAAGGTGTTGTGAAACAGATAGCGACGTTTGCTTACACCGTACTAACATTGCTACAAACATTAGACTCAAACGAGGCCTGGTGTTCAGCAATTGTGTGGCTCCTAACATCGGTACACATTCTCCAAGCAGGAACCCTTGCAACGCTCATTTTGTCGCGGCTTCTAGCTGTTCGGTCTCCTCTGAAATACCGACAAGCTGTCAAACGTACCCATATTGTGTATCATCTTGTTTCATTATCAATCCTGAGCTCATGTATAGGCTTAGCGGCAGTGTTGGCAGAAAGGAACGACCATGGATTACAGGCAGTAACTAATTCAACAGTCGGTAGTTACGATATGAAAACACAACACTGTACCTTTCTACCTCATGAAATGGATCGAAGATATGCAATACTTTCAATTACGCTTCATTCACTACTCGATGTTATGTCTCTCGTTGCTCTAATTGTTACGCTTTTCAGTTGGTGTTGCCTTTACAGGCGCCAGAAATCGAATATTAGTGTTTCCCAACCTTCAACGATGATAGGAAGTCATGGAAATCAAAAGAGACAATTACTAACCTCATCTTCCGATCTTTCAGCTATGTCAGATATCTCTGTGACATCAACTGCACGAAATGGCAGCTCGACAACACAAAATGGAGGTAATGGAGGTAGTGAAGGGAGAAGAAACGCCGAGATATTGTCTGGAAAATGTACAACAAATGATAATCAATTCATGAATGGCTTAATGGAATCTAATTCAAGATACATCGAAAATGGTGACGGTAAGCTGCAACCAACAAAGACATACGCAACGCCTCCGCCCAAAACTACGAGTTTAGATGCCCTACCCACTCTCTCTTGCAGTATTGGTTTCGGCAGTGCTTTGAAATCTGCGAGTGACGCGAATTGCTTCCGTTCTAACGCCAACAATGCGTTTCATACAGTGTTTCCCAACTCGTCTGACCACGTCATCAACTCCTCCGTTGATACTTTGAAGTCCTGCGCTGTCATCTCGAGTTATAATCACACCGCTCCAAAGTCTCTCACGACTAGCGGCTCCAACTACGAGACTTACGACCGGAACTACAGAACTCCTGGTAATGGAAATACCGAAGATGGATGTCGCTGGACATCAGAATCTTCGTACATTTCTACATCCACATCTTCGACTAACAGCAGGGCCCCTTGTCTTGCCAGGGACGATGGGGTCGTGGTGGAACAGGAGGATTTGAGGCTCTCATCGGTAATACCTGTGCTGGTGCTGTGTTACGCCATCAACCACCTTCCAGTACTGGTGAGTGGGCAGGATGGTGTCGTAAGATTTTTATTGTTTAGCTGTAGAACATACTGCTGAAGGATCTTTTTCCTTATTTCGTTATGAAATAATGGCATTTCCGAAACATGTTTTTGTTTTTGTAGTCTTACAGTGTGACATCCGCCTGCAGAGAACAACTGACCGGAATAAGGTTTTGGGGGGGGGGCACTTGACGCTTTCAGTAGGTCGACTCCTGTATAGCGCCAAGTCGAAAGATGACTGATGAAGTGGAAAGGATTCGGTAGGACGCGATCGTGGCGGCGTAGTCTGATGCCCTATCTCGAAATCTGTCTTAAGGATGAGGAAGACAAGAGACTGGAGACAATTACACAATGAGGAGCTTCATAATTTGAATTCCTCACAAAATATTGTTGGATGATAAAATGAAGGAGGAAGAATTGTGTGGGGAAGGTAACACGTATGGGAGAAAAGAGAAATGCGTACAAAATTTTGGAAAGAAATCCAAAAGAGACCACTTGGAAGGCGTAGGAGTAGGTGCGAGGATACTATTAAAGTGGGGCTTAAGGAAATAGGATGGGAGGATGTTTACTGGATTCATCTTCCTTAGGGTAGGGACCTGTGATGGCCTTTTCTGAACAAGGAATTCTGGTGTCGGGTCCCTATATTCCTGAATACGAAGCAGAAATAGGCGTTTAACAACTACATTCAGTTTAGTTCCTGATGATGGAGGGAGAGATAGTCACCGAAACGTTGTATTATCACTTCTTATCAACATTGATAGCTCCGACAAGACCCCCATTACACGACTTCGCTTTGCAAGTCTGCCCAGTGCCAATAAATGACATTCGCAATGTCACTACATGTGCACGCCGGCCATTTCATGACTTGGCGGTTAGTGCGCCCGTTCCTCTGCTGCAACCAGATCCACAACCGAAGGAAAGATTAGCATTGTCTTCTGATACGTGTCTCCGTGTACTCTGATAAGAATTGGCCTACGTTTTTGAGGGACGTGCTACCTCAATCTTCAGGTCCCAAGAATTAGCCAACAAAAACGACGTTCGACATAATCTTCAGCCCTGAAGGTAGAGGCCGTATATTGCTGAGAAACTGTAGGCAAATTAATGTTTGTAACACTTACTGTAGGTCATACAAATGCCAATGTTTTCCGAAATAAAACACTCGCTGATATAAAATTTAAAACTACTCCACATTTATTAATTACCCTTTCATCGACGCCATGTCATCGTCATTGGTAAAACAGCCTTTCTATGAGCCCTATGCGTCCTCAGAATATTCGGCCACATACGTCATCAACCGTCTGTAGTCCCAAGAGTGAGCGTCGTTAGACAACCTACTTAAAGGAAAGGACCTTTTGATGCTCATTTTTCACACCATTCCACTTTCTTCTGGGGCACGCGATAGAGTAGTTGGTTGAGGCACTATGCTACACGCCGGAAGGTCGCGGGGTTCGATTCCCAATGAGGTCATTGGATTTTTCAATTGACTTAATCCTTCCAGCCGCACTATGGCCCTAGGCTCGACTCAGCCTCTAACAGAATGAGTACCAGGAATCTTCCTGGGGGTAAAGGACAGCAGGCGCGTAAGGCTGACAACCTCACTATCGTCTTTCAGCCAAAATTGCCTGGAAAATGTGGGAGCCTCGATGTCTCACAACTCTATAGACCTCCACGAACTGTTACACTTTCCTTTTAAAACAACATGGGATTCTTGGAATGGTCCGTTTTAAGTCACTATTCCACTTACAACTTATGGCGGTAAATCAGTATGCCCCTTATAAAGCCTATATTTTGACCATTTTTGTCTTCTCTTCCCTTTTTGCTCAGATCGGTTTCCTTTCTCTACCCCCTATTCTTGATCCTCACAGCCACCCTCCTTGCAACTTTCTTAGATAAGGAGACCCATTCCTGAACCTGCATACTTAAACTCTAAAGATGGAGGCAAAATTTTGTCCCGAAACGTCGGTATCCGCCCAGAAAATTACAAGATACTACAACCCAGAACACCATAGTCTTATATTTCAAATTTTCGCACCAGCTGAAATTAATGTTCTCATGTTCTAGAGAGTGAGACCTTGTACTCGTAGTATGGCGAATGGCTGAGGAAATCTCACAAGAAAATGCTGTATGCATATTTACAGGGACGGAGATCGGCCTCCATAGTCTAGGGGTAACGTTCCCACTTCATGACTCAAGGTCATTTTTAAGGGCGGAAAAATTCAGGGAACAGGTCCTCCGAGAGGGACTTTAAGCCATGTGTCCCGTGTCGTAGATTTACGGCACGTAAAAGAACGTCATGTCTCTAGGAGACCTCTGAGCTAAATTTAGGTAATAATTTTCCGCCCAAGTAGTTTCCAATGCCTCTGGTAGATGGGGGAAGCATCAAGATACCGAGGACCGGCCTCGTTGGCTGAACGGGGCTGATAGCATGCACCGTTACCGGTAGGGTATGGCGACAGTAGAAATTAAAAGGGGGACGCACAATGGACCAATAACTGGTCTAAGTGCATGGGGAAACCCACCCCCTCTAATACAGGGACGGAGACAATCTGTTGCTCCGAAACATTGGTAAAGAGTTTCCAGAATACACGATACAGTGATCCAGTAGACTGCAAGAGATACCGTACCTTCTCTTTATATGCATAACACGAAACTAATAAATCAGATTTCTCTGCAAAGCTACGGGTCGGAGTTTTCTCTAACAAAACCCGCATAGGCTCTTTGACATACTGTGAAAAATGTTAAAAATCACCTCTACGTGACGGTGAGGCATCGTGATCGTGGGCAAAGAACTCTCCACATTCTGCAGTCACAAAAACCGCGCTAGTCACATTTACTTTCAAAGCTGTAATATTACATTGATAGTTCATCCAGGGACGTGACTGGATTTTGAGAAGACGATTAAGCAGAGGCAATTTTTTTCTTCACCACTTTCTGATGATCCTGGGGCCAACCCATTCTCCTATTTGAACATGTGGCGCTCTTTCTCGATAGCGTAAATCACATAATTCAGCTTCGTCTAGTTCTGAGATTGGAAACCAAATACGTCGAAGCAAAACGTGGGACTTTAAACAAAAGTAACATTGTGTAAGATTTGAGGCTTTCACGGCGGTGACTATGAAGAAAGCAGTCTTCTGGGATTTGGCACCGTGTATATGTGGTGTTAACCGACGTTTCGGAGGAACGTATCGCCTCCATCTTCAGGGTAGAAGGAAAAAATGTAAGAAATCCAGTTCTCACGGTCTCTTCGCTTGCGGATTTCTTATATTTTTTCCTTATACCCTGAAGATGGAGGCGATACGTTCCTCCGAAACGTCGGTTAACACCACATATACACGGTGCCAAATCCCAGAAGACTGCTCTCTTAAAAGTAACATTACTTTCAAGCGTAGTCTCTTTGTCAATGCGCAAGGCACTTCTTGCGAAACTAATGACCCTTGGTGTATTCAAGAAAGTCCCAGCATTTTGTAAAATTAATCGAGAAGGATGATAGGGGCAGGGCATGTAGCACGCATGGGGCTAAGGAGAAACTAGATAAGATTATGCCTTGGACTATTCGGAAGCAATATCGCAACATTCCTCTACAAGTACTGAAGACAAATATAGGAATACACAGGTCATATGGCTTCTAACAAACTCTGTATCTATAGCCGAATTTTCCCGAAACCATTTCATTGGCTAGTAAAGAATGCTTACTATTCGTTAGCTGCCAATTTAGTTTAAACTTTAAGTTACAGCCATTTATAAGCAGGTATATAACGTATTTTGCTTTGAAGTTTAACAGAACAGTAAAGTTTTAAAGCCATTAAGACCAGGTTGGTATCACTCCTTTACTTGAAAGGTTTAAAACCTGATACCTCCAAAACACATCTCGTACAAAGAGGACTCTTGAATTACTATAATGTTCGTGAAAGTACAGCTTCTATTTCAAGCATGCGTTGTACCGATTAAATTACATAGAATTTCATATCTATCTATCTATCTATCTATCTATCTATCTATCTATCTATCTGTCTGTCTGTCTATCTGTCTATTTATTTATTCCTGTTGTCCCCACTTGGTACATAGGACATCCATGAAACTCTTTGTTTCAATTCAGTTTCTTAATCTTAAACAGATGGTAGGACTCCTTGGACAGGGGATCAACTCGTCGCAAGGCCGCTACCTACACACAAACACAGAATAAACTGAGTGGGATTCGAACCCATGGTCCCAGTATTGGAGCGGGCGAAGACATTTCATGCCTTGGACCGCGCAGCCACTGTGACCGGCTGAACAGGGTCTAGTTTAAATATATTCAGGCAGATTACGTAAAACCCAAACGTACATATGAATTCACGTCTTTGCGGGATGTTCTGTCCGGTATTATCACTCATTGAAATTCGATCATTTTGAAATTTGAGCTTTTACGTTATGAAGGAACATCTACTATAACTTTTTTTTTTCCTCTTGGCACTACAGCCCCAGTGGGCCTAGGCCTACCTCCATGAACTTCTCCGTTCACTTCGGCTACTATATCTTTACCTTCCAGTATAATATGGGTGTGTAACTTGGTCTTTCTCCTTAGGGGAAGGACATGGACTGAGGGTGTTTGAGAACAAGGTGCTCAGGAGAATATTTGAACTTCAGAGAGAGAAAGTAAGTGACAGGAAGATGGAAAAACTGCATTATGAGGAGCTTCATTATTTGATATGTGGTTCTCTCACACCGGCGAATATAAAAATTAAGTATTAACTTTTGGAATGCAGTACGATGGCAGTTCAGCGAGGTTTCGGAGCAATGTACGGCCTCAGTCTTCAGCGCCGAAGAGTAAACTAGGAAACCAGTAATCCGGTACAACTTCATCGACGTTTCGGAAAAGCGTACTGCCTCCACCTTTACAGTCGAAGAGTAAGCGAAGTACGCAATCGTTCCTGTGAAACGTCAGTGAAATTCTACCAGACTACACGGTGTATTACATCCCAGAAGGCAATATTTTTGGAATGCCTCATACTCTGTACT